GTTTTAGGGTTAGGGGTTAGGGTTTAGGGGTTTATAGGGTTTATAGGGTTTAGGGTTTAGGGGTTTAGGGTTTAGGGTTTAGTGGTTTATAGGGTTAAGGGTTTTAGGGTTTAGGGTTTAGGGGTTTATAGGGTTTAGGGTTTTAGGGTTTAGGGTTTAGGGGTTTATAGGGTTCAGAGGTTTAGGGCTTTAGGGTTTAGGGTTTAGGGTGTGTGTTTGTTTGATTGTTTCTTTTGGTTAACATGTTGACTACATTTTTTTGCGTTTTTCACGAATACGACGACAACGACGACGACGACGACTACTACTACTACTGCTGTTACTCGTATGATGGCTATTATTAAGTCGATTGGTCATAGGCTTTTCCCAGAGTGTGTGTTTGCGTCCTCGACCACCGAGGTAGGCAAAGATATGGGTAACAACTAAACCTGCATGTGTTTGCATATACATATATGTATGTATGTATGCATGTATGTTGACCCTTGTGAGTATGTCTTAATAATTTATCGTGAACGAGATGCTCCCCGATATCCAGCTTTATCAGCCGCTACATGAAGTTAACGCAAGTTCCACGGCCTACACCGGCAATCGTGCATTCGAAGCAGGACGAGGCTCCACCGATGATGCCTCCGGCAGAGGCCTTGACATCCATCGCGTTCCGAGTTTGGAGTGGGTTTGAACGAGTTGTTTGAGGTCGTATGAGGATCCCGAAACCCTAAATGCCTATGAGTGCCCCACGCGAGTGTGCGAATCAAAACGCCCTTGAGGAGGCAGCGAAGGGTTTCGGGGATGCAGGCGTCTCCAGATCCAACCGACTTACAGACGCCACCTGGAACAGTAGCACTTTGTATGTAGTAGTTGCGGTAGACATAGAAGCAGTAGCAGCAGCAGTAGCAGCATCAGTAGCACTAGCATCACAGGAGTAAGAGCTGCAGTAGCAGTAGCCGCAGCTTGCTCTCAGCACTAGCATCAGCAGCAGCAGCAGCAGCAGCAGCAGCAGCAGCAGCAGCAGCAGTCGTAGTCACATCCCCCAGCCAGCTGAAGCCTCACCAACCTCCTCGCTAGCAGGCGGCCACGGCATCTGTCTCGGA